GGGAGGTCTCCGGCATGGAGACCCGGGGCTGAAGGTTGATCTGATGCGCCGCGTACCGAACCGCAAACGGCCACAGAAAATGGGGGGCAGCCGCATGGACCATGGACGTACGAGCGACGTCCATGACCATGCCAATGCGGCGCTCAGCAATCCCATTTTGCTGCGGAGAGTCCGGAAGTGTGAAGGTCTGGCGGATGCCTCGTGCACGACAGAAGGCTCGCAGAAGGTCAGAGGAGAACTCTCCGCCTCTGTCAGAGTGCAGACGCAGAACAGGAAAGTCCGAGCCGAAACTCTCTCTGAGCTGGAGACGAGCTGCGCGGATCCAGGCGATCAACACCTCAGTGACCTCACCCTTGCTGCGCAACGGGAAGACTGCGGTGTAACGCGAGTAGTCGTCAACCACCAGCAGGAAGTAACGCTCGTGACCCTGTCCACGGACGCGGGCTGGGCCCCACACGTCCATGTGAAGCGTCTGCAGCGGAGCCTCTGTCGGAGGAAACTCGGAGGAGTGAGGAGCAGCGCGCTGCCGCCCCTCGACGCAGGGAATGCAGGTGGGGGCAGGCCCCGGAGGAAGGGGAGGGAGGGACCGGGGGAGACCAGAGACAAGGACACGGGAGGCCATGCCTCGAAGGCGAGGCAGGGAGGGGTGACCAAGGCGGTGGTGCCAGAGGAGAGTCTGGTGAGACAGGAGACGACACGAGCAGGGGGCAGACTCAGGACCAGACCTGGACGCCGCAGCAAACACCTGACCCGACGCGGCTACCTGAGCAGACTCAGCGACTGGAGGAGACTCAGTAGTCAGTGTGTACAGGCTCGACCCCGGCTGACGGGTAAACGTGGCCAAGTGACGGCCCGTCCGAGCACAGGTACAGTGAGTCACTCGCCGACTCGCAGGAGTGAACTGGTGAACCCCCGCATCCTGGAGGTCAGCACCACTCACCAAGTTCGTAGAGAACGAGGGGAGGTAAAGACCTGACAGGGTGCCAGAAGGGGCCGCCGGACACGGTAGGACAGTGGAGAAGTGGGCAAGGACAGGACCCCCAGAGGGGTCTGCCAGGGAGACTCCCACTGGCCGACTAAGCGGCGTGAGCGTGGTGCGGTCTCGAAAGAAGGAGCGGGAAGCACCCGAGTCAAGGGTGAAGGTGTGGGTGGCCGGAGCCGACGCGGTACCTGAGAGCGCAGACTCACCAGTACCTGGGGCAGCAGACTCACTGGCACCTAGAGCAGCAGCCTCACCAGCACCTAGAGCAGCAGCCTCAATGCCCGGGTCAGGCGGAAAACACCGGTAACAGTCACCCTCATCACTAATAGTCACAGCATACATGGCAGCAAGAATAGCATCATAGTCAAGATCAAAGATCGCAACACCCGCCCTAAACAGCTCGCCCCAGCGAGGGATCTCAGTAGCGTCGGGGAACTGATGACGCCACGCGTCCGTCAGGCGGCCGAAGCAGCGCTGGGTGGAGTGCGGACCCCCACACTTCTCACCCGCGCGGTCGCCGGTACGTAGAACGTAGGTACAGGGGCCAGCACCCCCACCCCGCTGACGAGCAGCGTACCACTCACGAAGCTGCTGGGGGGAAGGGGTCTCACGAGTGCGCTGCTGCTGCTGCTGCTGGCGCTGACCACCACCGGAGCCGACCCTCTGCGTAGAGCCGCCCCGACCAGCTCCACCTCCGCCGCCGCTACCTCCACCACCGCCTCCACCTCCGCCACCTCCGCCCGCACCGCCACCACCGCCGCCTCCTCCGCCTCCACTGCCGCCACTAGCGCCCCCACCCCCGCCACCACTCCCACCGCCACCCCCACCCCTTCCGCCGCCTCCACCGCCGCCTCCACCGCCCCTGCCAGCTCCTCCAGCGCCCTTGCCCCCCTTGCCCTTGCCTGGGCGGCGTCTCCCGCTAGGGGCAGACGCCGCGCCGACCGACTCAAGACCAACAAGGTCGGCCGCAGCAGCAGAGGCAACAGAGGGCAAGAGGGGGGAGGGGGAGCACCCCTCAAAGACAGGGGTACGAGGGTCACCACGAGAGGCTCCTACAGCGACTATACTCTTCTCTGCTGCTAGGAGGCGCTCCTCGAGGAGGTCAACGGTGAGAGTGGTGGGGCAAACAGAAAGGAAGTGGTCCCTGACCGAGCGAAGGGTGTCAGGGAGCCGGGTGACTATGTAGTAGAGGGTGATGTACATAGGGGGGGGGTTCTTGGCGCAGAACTCAGCAGGAAGCGCAGCACGGTAGCGAATGTCACTAGTGCGAAGGTGCGTAACGAGGTCAGCGACTTTGGGAAAAGCGGCGAGGTCAGGGAAGAGGTACGGCAGTATGAGGCGGCTAAGAGCAGCAGTGGCAGGGGAAGAGTAGCGTGCAACTACAGCGTCGTACAAGGTCTTAGCACTCTTGTACTGGCTAAAATGCGCGCGCTCAGCGGTCGGTAAGTGGCGACGCACAGCAAGGCGGGCAGCAGCATCGCGCGTGGCCCACTGTGAGCGAACAGTGGCGTCAGTATCAGCAGCAGGTCCAGGAGAGGCACCAGAAGTGAGGTCAAACTGGGAGAGACCGTCTGCCCTATCGCACTGTAGGAAAAGCTGCAGATCATCTACCCAGACCTCAAAGTCAACAGCCCGACCCTCAGCGTCAAAGGTGAGAACACTAGGGGTGGCCATGACAGCAGTAGACTAGCAGAGAGAGCAGCGGGGTAGGGCAGTGCAGTGGCAGAGGCGCTGCTCTTACCGGGCAGGTGAGGCGGGCCGAGGCAGGCCGGCAGGGACAGGGCAGCGACTGCAGTGACTGTGGCGTCTCGGCTGCGGGGCGGCTCGGCGGCTCAGCGGCTCTGCGGCTGGGCGGCTGGGCGGCTCGGCGGCTCGGCGGCTCGGCGGCTCTGCGGCTGGGCGGCTCGGCGGCTCGGCGGCTCGGCGGCTCGGCGGCAGAGGCAGCTCGGCGGCTTGGCGGCTCAGGCGGCTCGGCAGCTCGGCGGCTCGGCGGTGACGGCGGCTCGGCTGCTCGGCGGGGCCGGGGAGGGCGGCGGAGGGGCCGAGGAAGGGCGGCGACAGGGCCGCAAGGGGCGGCAACGGGGCCGCTGAAGGGCGGCGACGAGGCCGCTGAGAGGCGGCGGTGGGGCCGCTGAAGGGCGGCGATGAGGCCGTGTAAGGGCGGCAATGGGGCCGCGGAAGGGCGGCAATTGGGCCACGGAAGGGCGGCAACGGGGCCGCGGAGGGGCGGCGACGTGGCCGCTGAAGGGCGGCGACGAGGCCGAGGGGAGGAGGGGCCGGCGACGGGGCCGCGAGGGCGGCGCGGCGGGGCCGCGAAGGGGCCGCGAGCGGCCGTGAGAGGGACCGCACGGGGCCGAAAGGGGGCCTCGACGGGCCGCGAAAGGGGCCGCGAGGGGCCGTGGGAGGAGGGGGGGGGGGGGGGGGGGGGCACGAGGGGCCGCTAGGGGCCGCGAGGGCGGCGCGACGGGGCCGCGAGGGGCCGCTAAGGGGCCGCGAGGGGCCGCGAGGGGCCGCGAGGGCGGCGCGACGGGGCCGTGAGGACGGCGCGACGGGGCCGCTAGGGGCCGTGAGAGGGGCCGCTATAGGCCACGAAGGGGAGCCACACGGGGCGCGACTCGGGCAGGGGCTAAGCGCGCTCCGGGCAGGAAAAAAAAAGTCGATATTCGGTGGGCCCTAGGAACAGTTCCCACGAGGGAACCTGCTCGATACCATGAGGAGATTAGAACGAGAATGAATGACTAAGGAATGAAAGTGATACAAATATGAAACCCTAGAATTGTGTACCCCTTAGTATCTAACCCGCTACAGCCTACACAGGCTAGATCATATAAGTTTGACATGTGGTGCGGGCTGTACCGGAGTGCCAGGTGCTTGAGATTGTGCTTGCTGTGCTCGTGCGACGTCATTTTGCAGGGACGTGCGTTCCGCCATTAGTGCCGCGATTTTCTCGGAATTTTCGTGTAGTTGTCGCAGCAACTCGTCCAGACGGTCCTGCGTGAGGGTGGTGACGTCGATATGTTCGGCCATTCCAAAGGGCGTCGGCTCGTCTTAGTTCTAGGCGCAGTCGTGGCTGCACGTGTTTACGAGAGAACGCGAGGACAGCGGCTCCTAGGGGCTAAGGTGCGTGAGTCCCTTCGAGTGAAAAATCAAAAGTTGATTTCCTAAGGTGCGGAGATGCGCGGTCCAAAAAGAAAGAGGCTTTGAATACCAAGTGTTACGGGTGCAATGAATCGAGGTAGCGAGGATTGCACTAAGGTGTCAAACGTGTACAAAACGTGAGCGAAGGCATGAGCAAACATTTATACGCGAAACATGCGAATGGTAACGTGGTGCGTGCGAGCTAGCTAGTGCTACGCTAGCAGCGAGGCTCGGGCTATTCCTAAAGCGTAGGCCGACACGGCCAGGCCAGCAGTGCGAGGTTTGGTGAAACAGTGTGCGCGAAGTCGGCGAAGCCCCGTTAGCAGTAACGGGCGAACAACGGCTGCTGCTGTACGCGATGTTGCAGGGCGCGCTAAGGAATGTCGAGAAAGTTCCTTACATGAATATAAAAAGTATCATCAATACATACAACATAATCTTTAATCATGCGTCTTTGTCCTGCGCCAAGGCTTTTGGCTGGTGAGTTTGCAAAACGTGGTGGAACTTTAACTTTACTGGAAAAAAATGACGCATTCTCTCAACCGTATCATCCACTCGTCAACCACATGAAGAATTTTGTATATTTTGAGAAGGTGTCGCTTTTTGTACAAATATACATACATATGTATATATATATATATATTGGCACTATTCCCTGCACGCTCGCACAGTTGGTCTAACACATGGACGTTGGCTCCTAGGGTGCTAAGCCGTCCGATGACATATGTTGCGCTTGACCCTTGCGAGGAATGGAGGCTGGAAGATGAAAGAATGAGAGGGAAGAAGTGAAGAACAAAAGAGGGAGGCTTGGGTGAGAGTGGATAACAAAGCAGAGGACGAGAAGGGCCCAGGAAGGCTAGAAAGGGAGGCATGAAAGGGCTTAAGAGAGGAAGATAGGAAGGGTAGAAGAGAAGATGGGTGGAATGGAGGCTGGAGAGGCGGAAGGGAGAGGCCGAGAGAGGGGGAAAAAAATGAGGTTGGAAGACGGCACGCCAGGAGGTTGGTGGAAAGTGAGGAAGAGAGTGAGGGATGTAGAGACAAAGGGTGTTTGGAAGGCTGGAAAGGCACATGGGTTGAAGGCGATAAAGAGGAAGGGAGCTAAGGAGGAAGGGTGGAAGGGAGACTGGCAAAATGGGGAGGGAAAGGCCTTGAAGAGAGGGAGACATATGCAGTGCGAGAGTAAGGGAGGTAGGGACGCATGGTGGAAGGGTGGGAGCAAGAGAGAATGGCGCCAGAGTGAAGGTAATGACGTAGACGGGCAATCAGTGGAGTAGAGACAGAAGAAATCCTCAGATATCACAACAATTCTCTCCCCACAAGTTTCGAAGTGTCACCACAAGCTTCCAAGATTTTCTGCAAGCTTCTATGAGTCTCCTTGGGTCGAAGCCATCGCTCAAACTTCCTTCTTACCACATCCCTTGTCCCTCATCTCCTGTCTCCTCCGTTTCCTAGCTCCCAATCCCCGACTTTCGTCCCTCAACTCCCAAATCCCATATCATGTGTCCTGTATCACTTGATCCATGGATGAAACAGACAATCATGGCTGCCTTTAAGATATTGCACGTTTTACGCCACTAATCTTGTTTCCGGTGCTCCCCAGTATCCATCAGCAACGACTCGAGCCGATCAATGGTGAACACCCCAGCATCAGTGCCACCCGCAGCCAAATGCCGGGTATTTTCTGCAGTGCCCGCTGACACTCCCACATCCATAGCTCCTCCACCAACATCAGAATATATACCCGTTGCTCGCAAGTGCTCCATATAAGGGACAGCACTGGTGTAGTTCTCGAAACTGAAACAGGCTGTTCTGTTGATATGAGAGAATGGGGTGGTAATATTTGCTGCAGCAGACAGCGTGAGTTGCGGGCCCTCAGGAAGCAACAAGTCTTCTGAGGGTTGAGAAAACGGAAGGCTCAAATCTGCCATGCCACGCTGCTGGGCAGAACGCAGCTGGTCAGCACTAGGCTGGGCAGCACACATCTCATCCGCACAGAGCTTTTCCAGACTGGGCTGGCCCGCACATGGCTGACGCTCACAATCCTGGTCCGCATTAGCCTGCTCCCCCTTACTAGGCTGCCCCTCACAATGCTCCGCGCAATATTGTTCCTCAATATGACGCTCCGCAGTAGAATGCTCTGTACCACCATCACCACCACCACTGCACGCAGCCCCATAATTTGCTGCTGTGACTTCCTGCATGAGCACATCCCCACCACCGCGGCCAGCACCGCCGGTTTCAGAGCCGTCGATTCTCCTAGAGGCATCACGCCCCAAGGCTTCAATAGCGGCTTCACTCACTAGCTCCATATAAGGGACAGCACTGGTGTAGTTCTCGAAACTGAAACAGGCTGTTCTGTTGATATGAGAGAATGGGGTGGTAATATTTGCTGCAGCAGACAGCGTGAGTTGCGGGCCCTCAGGAAGCAACAAGTCTTCTGAGGGTTGAGAAAGCGGAAGGCTCAAATCTGCCATGCCACGCTGCTGGGAAGAACGCAGCTGGTCAGCACTAGGCTGGGCAGCACACATCTCATCCGCACAGAGCTTTTCCAGACTGGGCTGGCCCGCACATGGCTGACGCTCACAATCCTGGTCCGCATTAGCCTGCTCCCCCTTACTAGGCTGCCCCTCACAATGCTGCTCCGCGCAATATTGTTCCTCAATATGACGCTCCGCAGTAGAATGCTCTGTACCACCATCACCACCACCACTGCACGCAGCCCCATAATTTGCTGCTGTGACTTCCTGCATGAGCACATCCCCACCACCGCGGCCAGCACCGCCGGTTTCAGAGCCGTCGATTCTCCTAGAGGCATCACGCCCCAAGGCTTCAATAGCGGCTTCAATAGCGCCTGCCTGTGAATAGCTGGATCCAGGAAATCTGGAAGTACTGTGGAAGAGGGAGGTAGGAGAGAAGGGGGGAGTGAGGGCTGCTGCCTCAGCCCTGGCAGCAGTAGAAGAGCCAGCAGCAGCGCCGGCAGCAATACCGGCAGCAGTGGCTACAGCAGCGGAGGTGAGAGAAGTAGAATCTATGGGGACAAGAGGCGGTAGGAAAGGTGACTTTTGACTAGATTGAATAGGTGTTATGGGGGGGAGAGGCAGTATGCAGGACGGGAGGGCTTGCTGGAAGGGTGAGAGTGGCCATTGCTGCTGCTGTTGATGCTGCTGCCGCTGCTGCTGTTGATGCTGCTGCTGCTGCTGCCGCAGCCGCCGCCGCTGCTGCTGCTGCTGCTGCTGCTGCTGCTGCTGCTGCTGCTGCTGCTGCTGCTGCTGCTGCTGCTCTTGTTGCTGCATCAACTGCAACTGTTGCTGCAGCACTGACTGTGGACGCTGGTTCTGCTTACGCTTCTGCTGGTGATGATGCTGCTGTTGCTGCTCCTGTTGATGCATTGAATGCAACTGCTGCTGCTGCTGCTGCTGCTGCTGCTGCTGCCATGCCAACTGCCTCTCGTCCAGCCACAGCTTCTGCTGCCCCTCCAATTCCCTCTGCTGCAGCAGCTGATGCTGGATGTTGTGTCCGTACCTCCTAGGAGGTTTTTGAGGTGACTCATAAGGCACATGCCTGCTAGCATGCCTCCCTGGTTGCTCTTCAAAATGGTTTGGTAACCCTTCGCCGTAAATTATGTCTGCCACCCGTTGTTGGTATGCTGGTGCATGCAACATTGCCCTGTCCAGCAGAACTGTTCCCATTGCCCCCCGTTCATGTGAGCATGATCTCCTGACTCTGTGCAGGGGGAGGTTCGGATCTAATTTGAGAGAGCGGGTTGGGGTGGATGCAAGCGCAAACACAGGAGCACCGGCAACACCAGTAGCACTGGAAAAACCAGCAGTACCGGCAACACCAGCAGCACCGGCAACACCAGCATCACCAGTAACACCTGCAGCACCGGCAAAACGAGGAGCACCGGCAAAATTAACAGCACCGGAAACACCAGTACCACCGGCAAAACTAGCAGCACCAGCAACACTGGCAGCACTGGCAACACCAGCAACACCTGCAGCACCTGCAGCACCGACAAAACCAGCAGCGTTGGCACAACCAGCACCACCGGCAACACCACCAGAACCAGCAACACCAGCAGCACCAGCAACACCAGCAGCACCAGCAACACTGGCAGGAATGGCATTACCAGCAGCACCGACAACACCAGCAGCACCGGCAACACCAGCAGCACCATCAACACCAGCAACACGAGCAACACTGGCAGCAGCTGCCAGGCTGCTAAGTCCACTACCCACACTTTCACCAGCAGCAGGTATACCTACCATAGGACCCACAGCATCCAAACCACGAGAAGCATCCACACCACTTGCCCCGCTCACACCACTCACCCCACCTGTGCTGCCCACACAGGGCTGGGAATCAGGGGTTGAAGCAGTGACGACTGGTGGTTTCAGAGAGAAAGAGACGCTGTGGCTTCGAATCATAGGAGATACAGGTTCGGAACGAGGCATGGGTTGAGGCCCGGACCAAGGAGGCTTGGAAAACTTGGATCTTGTGTCGCCTATTTCCAAGACAGGAGTATGGCTTCTTATATCCCGCTGCTCAGTCATTTCCTCCTTGAGGGAAGATTGAGCTGTGAGGTCTGCAGAAACACACCGTGCAGCTGCCTTACCCCCTTTTCCAGCCTTCAAGCGCAGAGAAATCCATTGCGAGATGCTTGACACAAGGTGCTGCTGCTGCTGATGTTGTTGCTGCTGCTGTTGTTCTTGCTGCTGCTGTTGCTGCTGCTGCTGCTGGTGCTGATGTTGCTGCTGATGCTCCTGCTCCTGCTCCTTCTGCTGCTGCTGCTGTGGTTGCTGCTGCTGCTGCTGCTGCTGCTGCTGCTGCTGCTGCTGCTGCTGCTGCTGCTGCTGCTGCTGCTGCTGCTGCTGCTGCTGCTGCTGCTGCTGCTCCTGATTCTGCTGCCGCTGCTGCTGCTGTTGCTGCTGCTGCTGCTGCTGCTGCTGCTGCTGCTGCTGCTGCTGCTGCTGCTGCTGCTGCTCCTGATTCTGCTGCTGCTGCTGCTGCTGCTGCTGCTGCTGCTGCTGCTGCTGCTGCTGCTGCTGCTGCTCCTGATTCTGCTGCCGCCGCCACTGCTGCTGCTGCTGCTGCTGCTGCTGCTGCTGCTGCTGCTGCTGCTGCTGCTGCTCCTCCTGATTCTGCTGCCGCTGCTGCTGCTGTTGCTGCTGCTGCTGCTGCTGCTGCTGCTGCTGCTGCTGCTGCTGCTGCTGCTGCTGCTGCTGCTGCTGCTGCTGCTGCTGCTGCTGCTGCTGCTGCTGCTGCTCCTGATTCTGCTGCTGCTGCTGCTGCTGCTGCTGCTGCTGCTGATGCTGCTGCTGCTGCTGCTGCTGCTGCTGCTGCTGCTGCTGCTGCTGCTGCTGCTGCTGCTGCTGCTGCTGCTGCTGCTGCTGCTGCTGCTGCTGATGCTGTGCCATCTGCATCCAGTCCATCCACATCCTCTGCTGCCCCTCCACCTCTCTTTTCTGTAACAGCTGATGCGGAATCATGTCTTCATTGCTTTCATGTGGCTTGCGCGTGCTAGCATGCCTCCCCGGTTGCTCTTCTAAAGGATTTGGTAAACCTTGGACGTTACCCTTGGTTTCCAGCTGTAGTTGGTATGCTGGTGCATGCACCATTGCCCTGTCCAGCTGTGCTGCTCCCATTGCCCCACGTTCATGTGACCGTGATCTCCTGGCCCTGTGTTGGAAGCTATTCGAATCTGCGTTGAGAGAGTGGGCTGGGGTGGATGCAAGCCCAACAATACCAGGAGCGCAGGTAACACCAGCAGCACCGGCAACACCAGCAGCACTGGCAACACCAGCAGCACCGGCAACACCAGCAGCATTGGCAACACTGGAAGCAGCTAATATGCTGCTATGTCCACTACCCACACTTTCACCTGTAGCAGATATACGAATCGAAGTACCCACAGCATCCAAACCACAAGCAAACCCAGCACCACCTGCACTGCTCATACCTTCAGGGGTTGAAGCACTTACGACAGGTGGTTCCAGGGGGAAAGAGACACTGTGGCTTCGAAACATTTGAGACGCAGGTTCGAAATGAGCTGTGGACCAGGGTGGGCTTGAAAGCTTCGACCTTTTGTTGTCTCTTTTGAAGTCTGGGGTGTGGATCCCAAACGTCTGTGGCTCCATATTTTCCTCTTTGAAGAAAGGTAGAGCTGTGAGGTCTGCTGAAGCACGCCGTGGACCTTTTGTGCCCCTCCTTCCAGCCTTCGGGGTAAGAGAGTTGCATCGCGGGAAGCTTGACGCAAGGCGTTTCTGCTGCTGCTGCTGCTGCTGCTGCTGCTGCTGCTTATGCTCTTGGTGGTCCATTAAATGAAGTTGCTTCTGCAGCAGAGTCTGCAGTTGCTGCTGCTGATGCTCGTGGTCGTTTTCTGCTTTTTGGTTTTGCTGCTGCGCCTGTGAGTGATGGCTGTGAGGCAACTCTTGGTACTGATCTGCTGCCCCCATTTCTGTCACCGTTGCCACACAACCATGACGAGAAACAAGGCAAGCAAAATGCTCATCAATTCTTGTCGTCATCTCCATCACACTCCCCTCCTCCTCCTCCTCTGCCTCCTTCTCCTCCTCCTCCTCCATCGTCCCCACCTTCCTCCTGCTCCCACTGATTTCTTCCCCTGTACAAATCTCCCCTTCTTCTGCTCCTTGCTTACGTTCTGTAGCACAAACCCCACCGACTCCAGCATCATTTGCTTCTTCAACCTTCACAAGCTGCTGAACAAACCGCTCCGCACACGCATAGGACCGCTCTGCATTTGCTGCCACGCCCTCAATTCCCAACCCTTTAATCCTGACTGTACCTGCTCCTGGCACACCAAAGCCCAGCAAACCTGTCCCACCAGTTCCAGCACATGGTGAATTCTGCTGCGGGATAGAAAAGCGACCAATGGTATCACCACACGGGAATGGAGTGACAGCTGAGGTTTGCAGTACACCAGGATAAGACGGAAGCATGACATGGAGAGGAAGGGTCGTAAGTGCAGCTTCAGGGGAAGAGGTCGCACAAAGGGTGGAATGTGGGGAAAACGAAGATGGCCAATGTGAGTGTTGGTGCAACCCTACGGTTTGCACTCGGCTTGTTGTCCGTGTGCGTGAATGTGTGTGTGTATGGAATGGTATGAGGGCATGGGATAATATATATTTCATGCTTATAATTGTGTGTGAATGTTGAGTCATGATGTCGAGTGTGTGTGTCGAGTCAATAGCGAGTTATCGCTAGACGCGTGTTACGCGGTCGTTTGTGTCTCGCGCGCGGTTTCTATTTTGTCGTGCGCGGTTTCTATTTTGTTCTGTGTCGAACGTTCGGCGTGTCGCAGGTGTGTGCAGCAGACCCATCAAGAACTCAAGGATGAGTTTGTGATGAAGAGCCCGAGCCTTGGTGTCAAGCCTCAAGTGATTTCGAAGCTTGCCAAAAGGGTACACCTCAAGATATTGAAGATAGTTACATTACTTTGTGTAGTGTAACATTTCACTTGGTGTAGGCCCTAGTGAAGGGTAGTTTCGAGACCCTTCGTGGTTGGGGACAGTGTGGCACTGTTCCACATCACTGTACCTCGGCTCTTGGGGTTTGTAGGAGCTGGGAGTCATTCCCAACTCGTAACTCTTCCTATCTTGTGTTCTAAGACTATAGTGGCTGCCATAGTACCGTTCGTTCAAACCGACGCTGTGTCGTCAATTCTTTATCAAATCGTGCAATCTAAATTGCTAATTGTAGAAGACGTGAAGACGCTCCAGATCCAATTTGAATCAAGTCATTTGCAGCTGTGAGCAGAACGCTATCAACGTTTGAAGCCGCTGTGCAGAAATCCGTCTGTGCTCTCTATCTTTCGTTTTAGGCACATTCAAGCCTATTGTGACTATAACAAGTGGTATCAGAGCCCCTTGGAGCAGTTTCGACAATGTCTGGACCTGAGGAAAGGGGTGGCAGAGGTGCTGGTGGCAGTGGAGAAGCTCAAGCTCAAGGCCAACCCCGTGATTCAGCCATGGCGCCCATGCAACCAAGTCTTGGCCCACCTAGGGATGAGCTTAGGGTGTTTGGGCTTGACAAGTTCAACGGTGACAACTTTGCTGAATGGTCCTTCAAGATGGAGAACATCTTTGACCACTATGACCTGCTGGAGGTGATGGAAGGAACGGAGAAGCGCCCCGAGAACGACCCGGAGAAGAGCCCGTGGGTGCGGAAGAGCGCACAAGGCTATCTCTTACTTGGGCAAGCGTTGGGGAGCAGTCAGATCCGTCACATCAAGCCATTCCAGCGTGAACCAGAGAAAGGACCAAAGGCATGGGCTGCTCTCAAGGGTGTACATGCTCCTGCAACAGCGGCGGTAGCGGTGGTGTTGGAACGGCAAATGGCGGCACTACGAATTGAAGAAGACGAAGCGGTTGAAGAAGGGGTGCAGAAATTCTTCGACTTGTTGACGCGGCTTGAGGGAGCTGATTTGAACTACAGTGAGCTCCAAAAGAAGACCAAGTTGCTGGCCTTACTCCCAGAGTCATGGTCCTCGCTTATCATCAACCTTAATCGCGACTTGCCCCGCCTCTCGCTTGAAGACGTGAAGCGAGCTATCCTTCAAGAGGATTTCCGCCGCCGTGAGTTGGCGAGTGCGGATGGCGCTGGGGCAGCGAGCATCGGCCGTGGATATGGTCGAGGAAGAGGCAGAGGACGAGGGGGAGGAAGGTTTGGTGGCAGCAACTTCGGCGGAGGCCGCAGGAGTGGCGGTTACGGCAGCGACGACAAGAGCTACGGACGCGGTCGCGGCCGATTCGACGGCGAGTGTCACTATTGCCACAAGAGCGGACACATGTGGCGCGACTGCTACAAACTCCCTGATGGTTGGACCCCTGCTCAAGGCCAAGAGGGTAGAGGAGCAGGAGGAGGGAGAGGACGAGGCCGTGGAGGCCGTGGCGGTCGCGGTGGCGGAGCTGCAAACATGAAGAGCGGAGACAACGACAAGGACCCGAGCGACGATCGATACCCGGGTCTATTCTACTTCGTGTCGACGCAAGTACCGGCTGGTCCAGAGAAGGATGAAGGCTTTGAGGAGCCAGCAGCTGTGGGAAAGGTGACCCTACACCCCCTGGACTATTGGGTGATTGATAGTGGCGCTACCTATAGCATGACACCTCGCCCGGACTTGCTCACCGAACTCGAGCCGTCACCGGTGAAGCATGTCACATCGGCTTTGGGGCAGCGAGCAGAGGTGAAAGGCATGGGCAAGGCCATGTTCAAGGGTGCTGATGGGAAGATGGTGGGCCTCAAGAACGTGCTTTGGGTGCCCAGCCTTGCTGCAAACCTGATTTCCGTGCGGCGGTTGGCAAAGGCCGGCATGGACACGAACTCGAAGGGAGCCAAGACCTACACCGCAAGGCTTGGCGATCGAATTCTTTGGGACCTTCATGAGGACAGGGATGTCTACAACGAGATGTGGCAGATCCCAGTGGTCCCTATGCCTAAGGAGAGGCAAGTGGCAGCAAGCATCAGCACCAAGGATGGAGCGGTCGGTAGCGACGATGGCGCGAACGGTCGCGCTAAGGAGAATGAGCTCAAGAAGAGCAAACCTGGAGGGACCAGCAAGTTCAGTGAACCTAAGGAGAGTGGTGCAGCAACCAAGGAGCAGCAAAAGGGTGAGGAGAACCCAGAGGCAGCAGCGGAGGAGGACTACGGAGAGAGTATGTGGGGCGCTATTGCGAGCGCGGCATTCTTCAATCCAACTTCGGCTACGGGGGAGTGTGATTGGCTCACCTTGCATCGGCGCATGGGGCATGTGGCCCTGCCCATCTTGCAGCAGCTAGTGAAGAATGAGATGGTTGCTGGCATACGTGTGAAGGGGGAGCCCGATGAAGTGCTTGGCTGCCCGACGTGCATTCAAGCCAAGTTCACCCGGTTTCCGTTCCCTAGTTCGGAGGCAACGGCAAAGGCACCGCTTGATGAGGTGGTGATGGACGTGGTGGGCCCCCTGAAGCTTGGAGCTGCTGGAGCTGAGTATTTTCTCACCATTGTCGACGTCTACACCCGCATGACTTGGGTGTACGTGCTGGCCAAGAAGAGCGACGTGGCTGAAACGTTGAAGACGGATTGGTTCCCGATGGTGGAGCGGCAACAAGACCGTCTAGTCAAGTCAATCCGCACCGATCGAGGGGGAGAGTTCCTGAGCAAGGAGTTTGGGTTGTGGCTGAAGAAGAATGGTATTCGGCACTCCCTCACCATGCCATACTCCCTTGCAATGAACGGCATCGCCGAGCGAGCGAACCGCACAATCACGGAGGCGGCACGCGGGTTGCTCATTGAAGCCGGGCTACCCGACTATTTCTGGCCTGATGCGGTGCGGAGCGCGTGTGTGGCCAAGAACAGAGCCTTGACTCATGTGGGAGCAGACAAATGGGTGCCCTATGTGGAGTGGCTAGGAAGGAAGCCAAAGGTGGATATGCTTCGGGTGTTCGGGTGCATGTGCATGGCGCTCGTGCCTAAGCATCTTCGGCACAACAAGCTTGGTGCCAAGGCGGTGTGGGCCGTGCACTTGGGCATGGCTCAAAACAGCAAGGGATGGCTTCTTTGGGACCCATTCACCAAGAAGTTCTTGGTGAGCAGGGACTGCAAGTTCATGGAGAACTTCATGTACAAGGATTGGAAGGCGGAGAATGAGGCGAAGATAGGCGTGCGGTTTGGGGAGGTGAAGAGTTCCGGTTTGGAGCATGTGGAGCTGCCTTTGGAACTGAGCAGCGGCAGCACAACCACAAGGCAATCCTCCCTTGTGAATGGGGGAGAGGAGGCCAATGATGCAGAGGAAGAAGAGGAGGAGGTGCAGCAAGTGAGCGAGCGTGCACCGTCACTCCCTTCCCGTACTACGAGTGCTCCACGGATTCGAGCCACACCGCAGCAACGCCAAGGCCTTCAAGTCCCTGCAGCTGAGGAGGAAGGAAGGGGGAAGAGGAGAGTTCAACCCCCTAATAGGCTGACCTATGATGCGCCGGGAAAGCAGGGCAAGACAGCCCTGGCCGGAGCGGCAATGATGGTCGGAGACGACGAGGAGAGTGACTACGAGGAGTGTGCCTTCGCGTTCTTCTCTCCGGTGGAGATGCCGGGAGAACCAGCAACTCTCAAGGAGGCTTTGGAGAGTAGTGATGCTGAGGAGTGGAAGAAGGCCATGGAGAGTGAGCTGAAGAGCATCGAGGAGAATGACACGTTTGAATTGGTGGAGCTACCGGAGGGGCGTACGGCGATAACGTCCAAGTGGCTCTTCAAAATCAAGTCGGATGCCGACGGCAAGATCGAGCGCTACAAGTCTAGGCTTGTAGCCAAGGGGTACCAGCAGAAAGAGAAGGTGGACTTCAAGGAGCTGTTTGCCCCTGTGGTGAAGCCGACGACGCTGCGAACCCTATTCGCGGGAGCCGCCATCAAAGGATGGGTAGTAAAGCAAATGGACATCGTAACGGCATTCCTTAACGGCATCCTTGTGGAGGAGATTTTTATGGCGCAGCCAGAGGGGTTTGATGATGGTAGTGGCAGAGTGTGGAAGCTGAAGAAGGCCCTCTATGGGCTGAAGCAGGCCCCTAGGCAATGGTACATGAAGCTGCGCGAAGTGTTGGAGGGGATCGGCTTCACTCCCTCAACGGCCGATCACTCCTTGTTCATGCTTGGCGAGGGGGAGCAGAGGAGTTTCATGGTGGTTTATGTGGATGACATCCTCATTTTCTCACCCTCTTCTGACCTTGTGAAGGAGGTGATGCTGAAGCTTCAAGACAAGTTCAAGTGCAAGGCCCTTGGTGACGTGAGCTTCTACCTTGGGCTCCACATCGAACGAGATGTGGAGAAGCGGTGCATGCGGATGCATCAACGAAAGTACCTGGAGGCATTGGCTGCCAACTTTGGGCAGAGTGAAGGCCATGTGGCTACACCCTTTCCCTCTGGGTTCAAGTGTGTGAAGGGACCAGAGGAGGAGAGCGTTGGTGAAGAGGAGAGGCGCCGATTTCACTCGTTGGTGGGCAGCCTCATGTATGCGGCGGTAAACACCCGACCGGACGTCGCGTTTGCTACCGGGCAGCTGGCTAGGGTTGTGCAATGCCCTAATGAGGAGCAGGTAGCAGCTGGAATGAGGGTGGCCAAGTATCTTGGCCAAACACCGACCGTTGGGCTGCAATACTCGGCGGCGGCACAAAGGCGCCAAAAGGGCGCGGATGGTGTTGAACCCGGGCGTTTGTTCCTCACCGCCTACTCGGATGCTTCATATGCATCAGAACCAGAGGACATGACAAGTGTGGGAGGCTTCATATGCTGTGTTGGTGGAGGCCCAACTGCTTGGGAGAGCAAGAAGCAGGTTGACCAAGCTTTGAGCTCGGTGGAGTCCGAGTACATGGCACTCTTCCGTGCCGTACGGGAGATTGTGTGGCAGCGGCGTTTGTTGGCTGAATTGGGGGAGGAGCAGCAAGGACCTACCCCACTGTACTGTGACAGCCAGGGTGCCATTGCTCTTGCTAAGAACCCTGTGTTGCATGGACTCACGAAGCACATGAGGGTGAAGTGGCATTGGACGAGGAGCATGGTAACCGCGGGTGAAGTTGAGTTGCGCTACGTGAAGACCACGGGGCAGCCGGCTGACATGATGACCAAGAGGCTGGTGGAGCAGCAGCATTGGAAGTGTTGCAAGCTGGCTGGGATGGCTCTGAACTGAGAGAGCAACATATCCTAAGGCCAACAATCCGAGGGGGAGTTTGTTGGTGCAACCCTACGGTTTGCACTCGGCTTGTTGTCCGTGTGCGTGAATGTGTGTGTGTATGGAATGGTATGAGGGCATGGGATAATATATATTTCATGCTTATAATTGTGTGTGAATGTTGAGTCATGATGTCGAGTGTGTGTGTCGAGTCAATAGCGAGTTATCGCTAGACGCGTGTTACGCGGTCGTTTGTGTCTCGCGCGCGGTTTCTATTTTGTCATGCGCGGTTTCTATTTTGTCCTGTGTCGAACGTTCGGCGTGTCGCAGGTGTGTGCAGCAGACCCATCAAGAACTCAAGGATGAGTTTGTGATGAAGAGCCCGAGCCTTGGTGTCAAGCCTCAAGTGATTTCGAAGCTTGCCAAAAGGGTACACCTCAAGATATTGAAGATAGTTACATTACTTTGTGTAGTGTAACATTTCACTTGGTGTAGGCCCTAGTGAAGGGTAGTTTCGAGACCCTTCGTGGTTGGGGACAGTGTGGCACTGTTCCACATCACTGTACCTCGGCTCTTGGGGTTTGTAGGAGCTGGGAGTCATTCCCAACTCGTAACTCTTCCTATCTTGTGTTCTAAGACTATAGTGGCTGCCATAGTACCGTTCGTTCAAACCGACGCTGTGTCGTCAATTCTTTATCAAATCGTGCAATCTAAATTGCTAATTGTAGACGACGTGAAGACGCTCCAGATCCAATTTGAATCAAGTCATTTGCAGCTGTGAGCAGAACGTTATCAACGTTTGAAGCCGCTGTGCAGAAATCCGTCTGTGCTCTCTATCTTTCGTTTTAGGCACATTCAAGCCTATTGTGACTATAACAGTGAGGAGGAAGCAGGAAGGGTGGATTGTAGGGAAGAGGAAGAGGGGTAATGGAAAGGGGTAGCAAAACGGGTGGAGTGTATGAAATAGGTAGCTCTGGAGGGAGCAGGGGAACCAGGAAGGCTGGAGTATAAGAAAAAGGCCGGGGCCAAAGGGGCAAAGGCGGGAGACGAAGAGGTGGATAGGACAGATGAGAAAGGGGCAGTTCCGCTGGAGCTGCTGCTGCTGACAGTGGAGCTTCTTTCAAGGGTGTGTGCTGGTACTGGTACTGCTTTTATTGCTACGCAAACCCCTCCTCCTCCTCCTCCTCCTCCTCCTCCTCCTCCTCCTCCTCCTCCCCCTCCCCCTCCCCCTCCTCTCCCCCCTTCCTCAACCCCCTCTCCTCCATCACCATCTCCCCCTCCTGCTGCTTCACCAATTGGCACAGAACCTACAGCCCCTGATGTTCCACCTGATTCAGGTCCAGCCGCTGCCACTGCCCTACTTGTTCCCTTCCCGAGCAGTTTTTTCTTGACCGCATCCACTCCCACCGATCGCCCTTCCACAGCATCTTCAGAATCCGCGACTTCTTTCCCTTCCCCTCCAGAGCTCCTAGAACTGCCCTTTCCAACTTGTCCTTTAGATGCCCGAATCTTCGGCACTCTCGGGCCATGTCTGTCACCAATATTACCTTCCTCCATTCCTGCGGCTTCCATCTGAACCGGTGCTTCTGGTTCGGCAGGATTGGAACCCACTGCTCCCTTTTCCTGGAGAAAAACCTCCGGAAAATTAAGTTTCGCCTTCGATCCTCGGATACCGAAAGCAGCTCTATCAAACGCCCGAGCCGCCTCTTCTGCTGAAGAAAACGTGCCCAACCATTTGCGGAATCCATGAGTCGTGTCCTTAATCTCAGCAACGTAGCCAGACGCTCCACGCTTCCTCACTCCCCGATACTTCCCATGCTGGTGGTAGTTTCTGTCGCGCGTCAATATGCGCCTAACTCCAGACTCTGATGGACCAGCTGGTGGTAAGTATGACTGTAGCAGTGCTGTATAAGGCTGTGGCAACTGCTGTGGAATCTCCTGTTGTTGCATCTGCAGCTGCCTCTGTCGCTGTTGCGTCTGCTGTGGTTGCATCTGCTGCTGTTCCATTCGCTTATTGTTCATCATGTGCTGCTGTTGCATTTGTTTCTGATTCCGCTTCTCTTCCATCTGCTGCTCCTTCATCTTCTCCTGTCTCTGCCGCTCTTTCATCTGCTGCTCTTGCATCTGCTCCGGTCTAGGCTGCTCCTTCATCTGCTGCTCTTTCATCTGCTGTTGTGGCAACTGATTAGGCAACTGCTCCCGTGGTGGCATGATCTGCCCTTGTTGCAACTGCTCTCGCTGGATTATCTGCCGCTGGAATCCTGATGCGTCCTCCTTTTCCCCAGCCTGCCTCTTTTCGTGCACATGATGATCATGTTCCATTGTGACTATACTGGTGCCAAATGCGAAGGGAGAAGGCTGAGGGGGTGGGATGGAGGGTTCGTGGGAGTTTGTTGCGGATACTTACATATTTCTGTTTCTGTCACGTTTCTTGAGTGCATAGATGTCCTCAAAATTTTCAAATACTACGGTATCTCGGAAAAGAATCTCCGGATTCAGCAAGATGTTTTAACGGTAGAACGAGCTATCCAAGGAGAATACTAGTGTTCACAGATCTGAAAAATGTTTTTGAAGGACGAAATCTCTTCACCGAGTCCTATCCAGAAAGTGACCTGGTAGGTTCTTCAGAAGTGACCCAAATGTGACCTAGCCGTATCCTTAGCACTTGGTCTCCAGACTTGGACTTAAGAAGTTAACAGATTCGGGGCTGAACATTTTTTAATTATGAGTTGCTAAGCGCGTGTGTCAGACTCGAGCGTATTCTAAATCGCAACCTTGGCACGAAGATAAGGTATATTCGTTGATGTTTCGTGGTCGTCGTTGATCTGTTGTTAGTTCTAATGGCAGCACCCATGCGGTTCCGTGCTTCTCCTACGAGAGGAGCTTTCTCTAGAACGCAACACTAGAAATTTACACTGCTGTAGTAATGGCAGAAATCCCTCCTGACTTGTGACTGGGTTTCGCAGCCTTGACAGGAAGATCGGATGGGTCTCTCCGCTGGAGCTGTTGAGCTTTGCGAGGGAACAGAGCAGACCAGGATGTGGCTGCCGTGTCTGTGGCTGTCCGTGTCTCAGTTCGTGTGCTGACCGCCCAGGGTTTCAAATCTTCAGAAATCGGCTTTTGTGCTTATACGACGTCAGGTTATACATTTTACACACGCTTACAGTTCCTGTATCGTGGTTCAAAACGGTCAAACACGGTGGGAAAACGGTTCTCCACGATTACCGCTTTTCACCGTGTTGAAACGAAATTTACCGGAGAGTGCGAGCAAAAACTTGTACAACCTGACGTCGCCCTGATATTGACTAAACGATAACGAATCCAACGTTTTACTAACTATCAAGTGCCCCCGTTTGACAGAACAAGCAACCCTTCAACAAAAACCACACCACCACCAAACATACAAACAAAACATACCGACGGAGCACAGCATGTGAAACCTGTGGGGTTTCGTCGATGTGTTCTGCACAGTTGCTGAATTATCCCGTGGCGTGTGCTGCTGTGTGCAGTGCAGGCATGTTGTGACTATGACGAAGGCATGGAGCGCTTCTGGTCTCACACTTCTCCTTATCAGAAAATTCTGGCTGGAATTCTATCGTCGATTTGATTGGTGACCTTGTTCCACGTGTTGCGCACGGTTGTGGCGTGATGTTCATGCACAGCTCACCAGCTCCACCCACAGTCAGACCTTGTTGTGGGACCTCCCCCACTCATAAAGTAACCGTTCGCAGTCAATTGTCCAAGTCTGACAGCACACGACCTGCCAGAGTGGAAGGTGTTCACAAAAGTCGATCCGTTTTCTCGGCTAGTAACCCTAGACATTAAAAAAGTATCACCTAGCCGTCAGTTTCTCTTAAAGCCCATTCGAACCTCTTTTGGCTTTAAGGATCAGACACCCAAAGAACTAGAGGCTATTCGTGGCATTGTAGAGTGTCGATGTTGAGAGTGTGACTTTGTGACCGCAACGTAAAGACTGGATCTTCCGCTGCGACCGAGCTTTTTGTTTTCCCGCTGACTCTTGTGCGTGACTGGATCGTTGATTCCTTAAAACCAGACTTTTGAAAACAGCCTTCAATTTCCGAGTAAATCAGGAACGAATACACAGGGGTGTGAAATTGGAGGGTGTGAATCGTGACGGACTGGATCCGTTTTTCTCCCTGAGGGCGTGTTGCCATTCGCGGTGCACTGCATCGGCTCGGCTCGGGGCACGGGTTCAGAAAGGCTTCGGGCAAGACGAGGCCGTAAAAATTTTAAATGAAACGCGCAAAAATAATTTATTTCTGAATACAACCTTGGCAAATAACTCTATTATTACATTATCTCGAAACGTTTCTTTGCCCGGGGTTGGCCTCCCGCTTGCCTCGAGCCTTCCATTCGTCCCGAGTCGATGCAGTGCAACGGCAATTGCAACACGTCATAAGGGGAGCACAAGAAGCAATCAGATATGGGCAGTTGATCGGGCTTTTGCTAAATTGACCTGCAACCAGCTTTCACTTAGCAAAAGGGTTGGCTTGTCAGCATTCATGATTATCATGTATAGCTCCTTTCCTCCCGACGCAGCATTATCTGGTCCCAGGTGCTATAAGGTCAGTGCCGAAAAGTGGTGATTGTCAAAACCAAAATTCGAGACATTCATAACCCACACGTCGCACATCGAATCAGAGCTTCTATACTGTGCACATAGGGTGGCACAAAAAAAAAATACTGTATGAAGGTTCGTCGCATCTGGTGCAATAACACACCCCACCCGTGTCGTGAATGGAGGCGCATCATTGCGTCGTTGCACCAGGACATCTGAATATGACAGCAGCTACAAAAATACAGCTCGATTTGATGAAAGAGACAACCCAAACGCGTGCTCAAAACAATGTGCCTGTTTCAAAGCAGTGTACAAATTCTCCCCAAATCCTTATCAATTTCCTGCCACTGCCCAAAACTGCTGCGGAGGGTTGTGCGTTTCCCGATTTCGAGGGATCGATCACTGTATAGTGCAGCTTTTTGGGGTGGAGTACAGTCCCGATCAATCTACAGCCACAGCCCAAATCTGCTGCTGAGGGTTTTGTGATTCCCCATTTCAATAGTTCACTATCCAAAAAAACAGTGGCTGGCACGGCACGCCCCACTCGGCCCAGGCCGAGTCACTGACAAATTACAGGGTGAGCGCCGGGTAAATCGGCGGCGCACCTTCACTGGGCCGAGTACCATTGCTGCACAGTACTCTTAGGTCCGAGTAGCAGACGGTTCAGAACCTAGTTCTGGCCTATCATGGACTTACGACGTGTTGCGACCCAAAGAGATTGGGTTGGGTCGGCTCGACCTGGTCGGCTAGACCCAACCCGACCAGATCTTCGGAAACGCGACTTGGGAAATCACGGAATTTCCCGTCGATTTCCGTGCATCCTCGAGGGACCAGGAAAGCAGTTGCCGGGCGGGGGGATGGTGAGCTGGAAAATTCGCATCGATATTGCAGGGTATCATTCTGTGCGGCGAATTTGAGGCGACATTTGCGCGAGAACTCTGAAGTTCGCAGACTATTGTAACCTCTCCAGCTCGATTGGGTTGGGTCTGGTTGGCCTGTTTGAGCCGACCTGGTCGACCCAGGTCTGGCAGACCCAACCGGGTCTGGTTGGCTCAACCTGGTGGGCTAGACCCGCGATGCAGCCTTCCTAGAAGTGATGGGTCGGGTGGTGGTCGACCCAATCCGTGTGGGTCCTAACACGTCGTTAGGAAATGGTTCAGCTCGCTTTGGATCGTGTTCAGTTGTTTGCCTAAAACTCGTGCATCGGCGTTTTCTTAAGAGTTCTGGAGAGATCCGAAAACAACCGAGAACGCAGAAAATGATTTTTTTTTTCCTCAATTCAACCGTAGACATAAGACATTCTAAGTAAACCACCCTGCAAAGATTAACCAGTTTGGGAGCTTTTTACAATTCAATGCCAGCGAGTGTCCATTGCCTTGCACAAGTGGTGCTCAACTGCTGCCACCGAATTTGCCCATGAACAATTGGTGCCAGCCAGTTGCACCAGCAAGGTGGTTCATTAACGGGCAACGAGGAACAAAACAGCAAATGCGGATGGGTGGTGATGAACTGTGGTGATGAACCAATGCTCGTCAACAAATTGTGCCACCTGAGTCTCTAGTGGGTTTTAAAGCCCAGCCCCCGAATTACCGAAACGCCTTCACAAACTGGGCCCAGTTTGTGTCTCGCTCCTTCTGGTTTCGGGGAATAGAGGTTTAGGGGAGGTTTTCGAACCTCAACACCCTGCTTTCCCAAACCTATTTTCCCGCGTTGACTTCCGTTGAGTAATTCGGGTGTTGCCCTTTAAAGCCGGCAGCCCAAATTGTACACGTAAGATTTCGGAATTTTGTCGTTAAGGGTAGCAGAACTGTATCGCCAGCTTTCCTTGTTTTTTTTTTTCCAAACCAAATCTCACGCGTTTCTCGCCAGCTTTGCTACCTATTGGTCCCTATCTCACACCCAATATCTCGCTAGACTAACATCGAATGTCTGGATCATGACATTGTAGAATCCCAATGCACCCAAGAAGGTGCTATCACATACAGTATAGTCA